TGTGGCAGCGACGAGGGAGGAATTCTGGAAGGTGAGCCCTCGTGGCCACCTGGCCCTGCTTCTCCCATGTACCTCCCCACCTCCTCTCCAGAGCCTCAGCCCAGAGCTTCTCGTATTGCATGTCTAAGACAACTTCTCCTTGCAAAGAGAATGCTATCTGACAAAGAGGGCTTTTTAATTTCTGACATACATCTGTTGAATTAATGAACAGGACTATTTCTTTACACATTTGGGTACCCAAAAAACGAACACTGTCATCCGTGTGATCTTTACCTTTCTTACAGGAACTAAGCATGAGGGCAGGGCATGAATGTACCAAAAGAGAAGCCTTCATGAAAGAAGGGAGAGAGACATAGGGCCCCAGGGCTAATGGGTTTCAAAGGCGTCAAGAATAAAAATAAAGAAGCGGTTGCAGATGACAAAGGGTTGGATCAAGTTCTAAGTTCCAGCGAATGGCAGGGGCAGCTCTGACACATAACTTGGGAAAGGATGGACTTTCTCTTGGTAAATTATTTTTCTATCTTGGTTCCCGAGCTATACGTCCCTTGTTGCTACTAATGAAAACCCCTCAGAAGATTTACACCTCTAGTAAGTGGAAGAGCCTCAGAAGGGTTCTCAGTTACAAAAACAAAACAGAACAAAGGGGGAAAACTGAGCGCTTTGATAAAGCAGAGTGGTTAACACGTGGCTGGGATCATAGAATGGAGAGAAGCATCTCCAAGGTGGCTTCCTTCTCCTAACAGGAGTTTAATCCATTGGGAATGAGAGGACTACCAAGCAAGCATGAACGGATGGGTTTCCCTGAAGACAGGTATCAATTTCGACACTTAGTTGGGCCACAGGAAAGCTGGGGAGCTCAACCACACACTTCGACATTAAACAAGCACCTTTGCAGGAAGAAGTCGCCTCCTCACCTGAGGGGAATATTTGCAAATGGCGCCTGGGGGACGGCGTCTGGGGGACAGCATCCCCGCCACAGGCCTCCAGGAGCCCCGCGGGGCACGAGCTCACAGACAGAGGCAGAGTGGGATTCTGCAGAAACCAAAATTATTCTCAAGACTTCAGCTGTTAGAATGACCAGACACAGAAAAGGAAACGAAAGCCATGTGTAAAATGTATGAAGAAGAAAAAGACAGGCTGGCAAAAATGAGTAAACTACGGGACTTTCAAAATGACCAATCAGGTTGAAAAGGGATCCCATAAAACTTTTACAAAATGAAAATTATAGGGGCATGAAGGACTCTACTCCCGAAATCACTGTTGCACTATATACTAACTTCGATGTCAGTTAGAAAAAAAAAAAAAAAATTATAACTGATGAACTGGAATCAGAACAGAAGGCCCCGAACCCAGGGCCCTGGAAGCACACTGGGTAACTGGTGGACGGGAGGGTAGGTCTGAAGGAGTTCCCCAGAACACCACAAAGAATGAAAATGCAATATATAAAGGAATGGGTAAGGAAGAAAAAACGCTGACGGCAGGGGGTTTGAAGGGAGAGTAAGTGAAATCTTAGAGGAAAGGAACAGAGAGTATGGGGGAAGAGACAGTGTTTGAAATAATAAAGTTGAAAATGTTTTCACGGGGCGCCTGGGTGGCTCAGTCGGTCAAACGCCCGACTTCAGCTCAGGTCATGATCTCGCGGTCCGTGAGTTCGAGCCCCGCGTCGGGCTGTGGGCTGATGGCTCAGAGCCTGGTGCCTGCTTCCGATTCTGTGTCTCCCTCTCTCTCTGCCCCTCCCCCGCTCATGCTCTGTCTCTCTCTGTCTCAAAAATAAATAAAACGTTAAAAATAAATTAAAAAAAAAAAGAAAATGTTTTCACAACTGATGGAAGTTATGCAACTATGGATACATGATACCCCATGTACACAAAATAGTCTAAGAAGAAGTCCGCTCGTAGACACAGTGTAGTTAAGCTGAAGATCCCAAGAGCGGAGAGAAGAAAATTGGCCAGAGGGAAAGGACAGAACACAAGGAAGGAATGACAACCAGACTGATGGCCAACTTCTCAACAGCAAAGCTGGAAAGCCCCGAAGACGGTGGTCTACCTTCAAAGTGAAAAATACTGTGTACATAAAACTGTGTGCTGCGGCGTAATATATATTTGGGCTATTATTGGGGTTCCTGGCACAAATCTAAAACCCCTGGAATTTCCAGAGTGATAGGATTATCTTTGGCCACTCATCAGGCACCCTGTTTGAGCACGCCTGAATTTATGCTAACGAGGTGACTCCGGGTGAGGCCCCTAGAGGGCCAGAGAGGATGGGGCCGGTCACCAGAAACGCCAAGTAAGAACAACTTTGGAACTTTCAGCCCCGCTCACTGACCTCTGAGAAGGGGAAGGGAGTTGCTAGAGATTAAGTTCCATTAAAGCTCTTGAACAAGAAGTGCCGGGCTTCTGGGGGCGGTGAACACATCCACGTGCCTGGATGTGGCAGCACACCCCAGGTCCGTGGGGACAGAAGCCCCAGCGCTCGGGAACCTTCTGGGCCTCCACCTATGTACCTCTTTGCCTGGCTGTTCATCTGGATCTTTTATCACATCCTTCATAGTAACCTGGTAAATGTGCATACGTGTTTTTTACATGAGCCGCTCTAGCAAATTAATCAAACCTGAGGAGGGGGTCAGGGCACGTCCGATTTACAGCCAGTAGGCGAGAAGCACAGGTGACAGCCTGGGACATCTGAAGCAAGGGCAGTCTGTGGGACTGAGCCCTTAACCCGCGGGGTCTGATGCTGTCCCCGGAAAGGCAGTGTCAGAATTCACTGCTCTGTAGTATTGGAAAAACCGTATGTGGGATATCCACTAAAACGGTCTTCCAAAAAGAAAAAAAGAGCAAAATAAAGGCTTTTTCATAGAAACAACACCCGAGAACTTACCGACAATGGACCTCACTAAGGGAACTTGCAAGTCTTTGAAGCATATTATTTAGCCTCTAAGGGTATAATTCAGGAAGGAAGTGAAGTAAATGTTGTGTGCGGAAGGTATGAGATACAAAAAGAATTAGTAAGCAAATAAATTTGTAAATATGAAGACAAATATAAGTATCACCTTTATAAAGTAATAACGCTTAGTTCTCGGGATCAAAATAAACAGAGTAACAACAGCAGGTAAGTTGGGAAGCAAAGTGACGGTGCCTGTTGTATTGTTCAGGAGAGTGAGGCAACTTTAAGTATTGTAACATTTAAAAGGCAAACATTTAAAGTAGAGAAACAGAGTATATAGCTTCCAAACTAGTACAAGGGGGGGGGGGCAAGAGGGGTGGAAAGAATCCTAAAAGAAATAAAACTCATTATTTTTAAAAAGAGGAAAAAATACTGGCACCTGGGCTCAGTCAGTTAAGCGTCCGACTTAAGCTCAGGTCATGATCTCGCGGTTCGTGAGTTCGAGCCCCATGTCGGGCTCTGTGCTGTCGG